CACCCTTACAGATTATATACAAGTGACAGCCATAACAATACATTATATTGGAATACAATCATAACACTTTCATCATCATAACAAGTCCCAAGTGTCAATAACCTGCCTCACATACCATTACTGGTTGAAGCATAGCGCTCCCAGAGCTTGGTACCTGGGCGCTAAAGCTTTGAACAACAGCTTCATCAATATACTCATCAACCATTTATAATAGAGATCGTTCGTCGGTACCCGCCGCTAGGTACCTAGCACCGCCCGGCGGGTACCGCCCGCACCCGCCAGGCGGTGCCGGGTGTCTATTTTTGGGCAAAAACACAGGCGGTACCCGGGTACCGCTGCGGGTACCGCCCTATCCCTAACATAGGGGCATGGTCATGGAGGGGTGAAACCCTCCATGACAAAGGTTCTCTGTCATGGAGGAGTGAAACCTCCATGACTGAGGATATATCATTGGTCATGGAGGGAGTGAAACCTCCATTACTGAGTATGTATCCTCGGTCATGGAGGGATTTAACTCCTCCATGACCAAGGATACACCCTTGTTCATGGAGGAAGTGAAAACCTCCATGACCAAGGATACACCCTCGGTCATGGAGGACTGGACTCCTCCATGACCGAGGATACACCCTCGGTCATGGAGGATTTGACTCCTGCATGACCGAGTATACACCCTCGGTCATGGAGGATTGACTCCTCCATGACCAAGGATACACCCTCGGTCATGGAGGACTTGACTCCTCCATGACCGAGGATTGACTCCTCCATGACCAAGGATACACCCTTGGTCATGGAGGATTTGACTCCTCCATGACCGAGGATACACCCTCGGTCATGGAGGATTTGACTCCTCCATGACCGAGGATACACCCTTGGTCATGGAGGATTTGACTCCTCCATGACCGAGTATACACCCTCGGTCATGGAGGATTTGACTCCTCCATGACCGAGTATACACCCTCGGTCATGGAGGATTTGACTCCTCCATGACCGAGTATACACCCTCGGTCATGGAGGATTTGATCCCTCCATGACCGATGTCAGCTTGCTACTATGGCAGAGACAACCTGTCATAGCAAAATGAAATAAAAAACACATAAAAAATCTAAGAATAAAGTAAAATATTACATAAGTAAAAGAAACTAATTTACTTATGTAAATAACATAAAAACACTTAAAAATATATAAATAACAAGGAAAGATTAGAGAAAACTTTAATTGTTATTACAGATTCTGAATCTACGTACAATTTAACCTAGGGTACCTCAGCCAAAGGTACCCCTAATTGTAACTCCTTCATCCTGTAATACCCACTTAAAGAATTAACAGGTACCCATAGATCACGGGCACCTGAATAATTATGCATTATACATAACAATATGCATATACTCCAAATCTTGTCCCAGATTTGGAGTGTTGTGTATAGTTTGGAAGATAGAGCTGCGTGGCGTGTACTGTCTCCAAGCCCGCGCGCCGCGTAGTCATGCTGCGCATGGTTGACAGGCGCGCCTGACTACAAATTGAGCCCATGGCTCAAGCCCCCGCGCGTGCTAGGTAAGCCCACCCGCCTTGGATACATGCATAACCCCCTCTGGGTTACCAGTATCCAAGGAATGGGCCACAAGCGCCCTAGAATCCTCATTACACGTGACAACAAAGCCCCCACACGTGTAATAAAAATATAAACAAACTAGAATATGCATGAAAATACTACAGTAACCTAGAACATCCTATATTCCAAGTGGTAACACGTGTAGCAAGCCCCAGAAACCACCTCTTGGATATTCTGTGGCCCATTTCCAAGGAAATAACTCCACGTAACAGACTAGCAAGTATCCACAGGTTCCTGAGGGACATTCTTGGTTCAAATAAATTCGTGCAAGACCCCTGGGAACTTCTAGAACATTATCCCCAAGGTTTCAGCCCTTGTTGCGTCACCATGTGGGCTAAAATGGGCCACAAAGCGCTCCCAAGTCCTACTAAGCTCCCCTGAGCAACCCCTGAGGTCTTCCACAGGTATTTAAAGGGCCTTCTGACCGCCCAAATAATGATCCCCCAGCTTTACAATACCTTATAGAAATTTACTTACCATTTACAAGTCCCCTACACTTGTAATTAGCCTAGTTACTACTATAAATTACTGTTATTAAGCCTCAAGAACCCTCAAGAAACTCCCCAGTGATCACTCAGCACCCAAAATCCACCTTTTTGAGCGCTTCCAACTGCCCAGTTTCTACTCTGAAGATCCTCAAGACCCTACAGGATTATTACTAGTGAGTAATAACCCTTTTCTTGAGATTTTCCCTATTATTTCTTACTGGGATTTAAACCACCCCTGTTTACAGGCCCCAGTGTACCAGGTACCTAAATCCTCTGCTTTTTGCACGATACCTTTGAGGGATCTAACCACCCCTGATTTATCAGGCCCCTCAGGTTTAATTTATATTAATTTTATTAATATAAATTAGCCACTTTTTTCCTAAAAATTCCCATAAAATCCTTTCTCTTTATTGGAATTTATTCCTTTAAAATTAATACCAAAAACCTTTAAGTTTTTTGCTTACTTTTGCACCACGTGTAGCTAGAAGATTTTATATCTTGGCATCACGTAGGCTGACAATTGGGGGTCTGGCCGGGAAAATTTTATTAAAATCACTTCTTTTTAATAAAATAAGACACCTGGAATTTATTCTTAAATTCTTTCTCACAAAAAAATTAATTAAACCCATAAAAATTATTATTACGGTCATATTTCTCATTAGCTCAGAAAAAAATTAAATTAATAAAAAACATATACAATTTTTCACAAAGAAAAAGTAAACTCATAAAAAAGAAAATTTATATCTCAATTTTTTACCGCTTCTCTCTCTCTGATTTTTTTATCTCAAAGAAAAATCCCTAAAAAACCAATCCTACTCTTTCATACTTTTTCTAGTGAATCTCCAAGAGAACGCCGAATTGATTCAGCGCTATCTTGTCCACCTCAGGTTACGAAAAGAAGAATCAGATCGGAACTACATCCCGACTCCGTGGGAGAAGTTATCGGAAGAAGAACAGCTTCTTCTAGCCACGTATCACGCGCACATACATCAAGAAGAAGATCTTGATCAACAAATCCAGTTTAGAAGCTTTCTTCGTGAAATTCGCGAAAAAAATACCCAACTTCGCCGCAAAAGATACCTCGAAAAAAGTCCGAAGCTTTTCTAATTAATAGTATTCCTTTTCTAACCAACACCAATACTTACTTCTCTTATTTGTTTACCTCATAGTGTCTACTTTCGAGACCGGCGTTATTAGACAGGAAAGAGCCAGTCCAACTCCTTCGGTAGATACTGATAACGGATCCTCCGATCCTATAGCTAAAAGTTAGTTCCCTGCTATTATAAAAACTCCTTCTATTACCGATAAAGAAACCTAATTACTATGACTAAATCTACTAGGTCTAACTGCACCGATCTCCGAGGACCCCTCCCAGCTCCAACAAGACCTCGCGGCGGCAAAGGAACTGGAAAGCAGAGTAAAAAGCCTACAGATGACGACCATACCTCGCAAGGGAGCGGTCGAGAATCAGACAACGAACTTAGAAGACCTGCGTCCGAGTACGGAGACAGAGACAGCTATGGACGTCGACGAGCTCGACCCCGAATGCTCTGCAGCTACCCAGAAACGCCCTACCACGCCGGAAATTCGGGTCCTCTCGAAGGAGGACCAAATCAAACTCCGGGTGAAAGAGCACGTCGGGCTCTGGAAGCAATGCCAAGTAGCATCCAGAGAAGGTCCGACGGAAAGGCTCAGAGCCTTACTGACTATGGCTCAGGAGAGTCAGAAAGGTCTTCAGAAACTCATAGACAATTCCGAGATCGAGAGTTACGTCAAGGGATGGAACCCTTGGGAAGAGAAAAAAATCCACTTCCCATCTCCTCCAAAGAAGTCACTCATGAAGTTCAAGAAGACCGAAGCGGGAAAGAAACAGAGCTCGAACACCGTCAATTACTCCGACCCTGCCAAATGGAAGAAGGTGGCGGATCTGCTCAAAATAGCCGACGGCCTATACCAGAACCTCAACTGAATTCAAAACTGGCCCATGCTATCTTAGATTCCCTACAATCTTTAGATTTTAACCTCTCTACCCTAGATTCCAATAGCGAGTTGAATTTTTCTTCGATTGTATCTAACTTAGAATCTTCTGTTAATAAAATCAAAGAAAGTTTAGATAGTAAAGTATACCAGATAATTAAGTTGCTAGAAAGACCCTTGCCTATTGAGCTTACGTCTAAACATTGTGAGTTATTGACCATAGTCGGGAAAGATGTAGAGAGCTTAAGAGAATATGCGAAAGATAATAAGAACCTTGTTAACGAAATCGCTCAATACTCTAGAAATTCGGCTGCTATACTTAACTCTAGCGCCGATTTTGTCGTGTCTTCATTAAGACAAGACAGTATTGTAGAGAGGTCAAGAACTGATTCCTTCTTAAACGAACTGAAAGGTTTGTTCATTGAGCAAAATCGTCAGAACGAAGAAAGGTTTAATGATCTGAGTAAGCAATTCGTTGCTCAACAGAATTTAGTAACGGAGGAGTTCAAAACCCTTAAAAAACTCTACTCAAGTATGAATTCTTCCGAAGAGTGCCCCATGAATCCTGATTCTGAGATTAAGAACGCTCCGGAAGGAAGAACCTATCATTTGACTAAGGGAAAAGAAGGAGCCCCTCATCTGTCGTATAAAAAGGACGAGCTCCCCTTACGCGCGCCATCCGATGAACCAAAACATAATAATCCTTTCATGCATTCAAACACTCCCCCTGTCAAAAGCTGTTCTACTCATCTTCTTAATTCTGATCAGGGAATACAAAGAAAATCAAATGAGGAAATAGATTTTATAAGAAATTCAACACCTTATACTGCGGCTGAGCTGGCTAATTTAAATAAATATATGCCTCCAATAAAAGATTGGCCAGAATTTGACGGGAAAGATGAATATGACCACATCAGTTTCATTAAATATATAGATTATTTGTTGAGAACTTATATGGCCCCGGATGATATGATTACCTCCAAGCTCCCTAGGATAATGAAAGGAATAGCAGGAGATTGGTTTGTTACCAAAAGCCAATCTATAGGATTACAAAGTTGGGCCACCTGGAAAGAATTAATTATTGCCAGATTTAGCACTAGAGTGTGGAAGACTGCTAAAAGAATAGCCTTTGAAAGTGACTATTTTGACCCAGTTAAGCATTCTGTAGGAGAATGGTGCTTACTCCAAAAGAAAAGGATTGAATGCATTTACAATAATCCCACAGCAGAAGAGATAAATGACAGGCTATTAACTCAATGCAAAGGAACCATAGAACACTTAGTCAGATGCAGGCTAAAAGATATGGATGTTGATCTAACAGAGTTTGTAGGAGTATTAGAGGAAGTTGTGATTATGAATGGCTTGAATAAAAAATATGTCAGAAGTAATATACCTGAAAAAAGAGAATTCATCAAGCCAGACAATGTCAAAGAAAAAGCTCCAGCAGCTGAAGCCCCCGTAAGAAAAGCTAGCATACCTGAGTGTTATAACTGTGGAGAAAAGGGCCACAAAAGACCTGAGTGCCCTAATCCCCGCAAAAAGATCAATAATGTGGAAGTATATGAAGAGACTGACAGTGAATATGATTCTGGATCTCAATTTGATGTCATAACCACTGAACCAGGAGAAGAGGAATCTCATAGAATTGTGGTAATCCAAGCTGATATTGGTGATGAACTAAATATCAATACCATCCAAGGAGACTCTAATTTACCGCAGAAGTGGGACTCCTCCATGAAAATTGGCCATATTTCTGACGCCAAATTACTCACTAATAAGCCTGAAAAAGGCATGAGTTATACTCTGGGAAAGACAAGTTATACTTCTGTTTTATTTGAGGATAAATCAATAAAAGCCTTACTAGATATTGGAGCTTTTTGCTCATGTACTAGTAGCAGCTTCTTAGACGAAATTCATCCGGAGTGGAAAAACAATCTACTGCCTGTCCCTAAAGCTAAATTCAGTAGCTGCAATTCCTCAATGAAACCTTTAGGAATTGTAGTAATGCCTTTAATTTTCCCGCATTCCAAAGGTTCTTTAAGATTGTCCATAGAATTTGTGGTTCTTCAAGATGCCATTTGTGACTATTTAATTCTAGGAAATGATACTTTTTGCATGTATGGAATTGACATATTTCAAAGTAAGAACAGGTTCTACACTATTGGAGGAGATTGGAAAAGGAAATTTCAAATTTGCAATGTGAATATCAAACTCCCTGATATACCTGATGAAATTACGGAAGAAATGAAGTCCTTCAAGGCTGAATATCTGTCTCAAGCAGCTGTGAGTGATATTCTAGATGAGCAACAGAAACTAGATGTGCTTAAAACTTGCTTCATAAAGAAAGAATCCTTTTGTACTACTGAAGAACCTATTGGTAACATAAAAGGGCATGACATGAAGTTGGAATTAACTGTTAAAGAACCTTATCCTCCCATCTTGAGAAGACCACCTTATCCTTCCAGCCCTAAATCAAGAGAAGCTTTAGAAACTCACATTAAAGAGCTAATGGAATTAGGTGTGCTGAGAAAAGTTGGACACAATGAACAAGTAGAAATTACTACCCCCGTAATTATTGCTTGGCATAATGAGAAGTCGAGAATGGTTGGGGATTTCAGGGCTCTGAATAATTACACTAGACCTGATTATTACCCAATCCCACGCATTGATCACTCCTTGCATAATTTATCCAAAGCCAAATACATTACAACTATGGATGTTCTTAAAGGTTTTCATCAAATACCCATTGATCCTGACAGCAGACAATTTTTGAGAATAATTTGTCATTTGGGAATATATGAATATTTGAGAATGCCATTTGGAATCAAAAATGCCCCTTCCCATTTTCAGAGAATGATGGACTCAATTTTTGGTGCTTTTATTAGACAAGACTGGATGATGGTCTACATAGATGATATAATTATATATTCAAATGATTGGGAAACCCACTTGGAGAAAATAAATCTAGTGCTGAGTACCGCCATCAAAACTGGTTTGAAAATGTCCATTAAAAAATGCAACTTTGGTTATGGAGAACTCAAAGCTCTAGGTAGGATAGTATCTGGCCTAACCCTAGCTGTAGATCAAAATAAAGTAGCTGCTGTGATGAACAAGGCTCTTCCTCATAACTTGAAAGAAATGATGTCATTTTTAGGCTTTTGTAGTTATTACAGGCAACATATCCCTCAATTTGCCATAGTGAGTAAGAATCTATACGCACTATGCAAAGATGACACCATTTATGAGATGACCTGGGAAAGAGTAAAAAATTATGAAGAATTGAAAAGGTTACTAACTTCTGCACCAGTCCTAGCCCAACCTGATTACGACAAGCCATTTATACTTTATATTGATGCTTGCTTGGATGGGCTTGGAGCCGCTCTTCATCAAGAATTTATTGTGGATGACAAACCCATGGAAAAACCAGTTCTTTTCATATCCAGACAGATTAAGGAATCTGAGAGGAAATATGGAGCTAGCCAAATGGAATGCTTAGCATTGGTATGGGCTCTAGATAAATTACATTACTACTTAGAAGGCTCTAACTTTGTAGTTATCACTGATTGTACCGCAGTTAAAACTCTAATGAACATGAAAACTCCCAACAGACACATGTTAAGATGGCAAATTGCTATTCAGCAGTATAGAGGGCATATGACCATAATCCATAAAGCTGGCAAGAAACACATGAATGCTGATGGATTAAGCAGATGGGCACTCCCTAATACCCCTGATAACCCCGCATATGATCCTGAGGACGAAGACATATTTCCTATTTTGGGAATTCACGTATGTGACATGGAAAATGCTTTTTATGAATTAGTTCAGAGAAGTTATGACCAAAATAGTGAATTACTAAAATTGGTAGAAATATTGAGAAATGACAGTAGTCCTCCAGAACTAGCAGCTAGTTTAACACCTGTTCTGTCCAAACATTATAAATTAGGCAAATTCACACTATTTGATGGATTGTTGTACTACAGACACAAACACTCAAGTGTACTTGTCTTATGTGATGAGGGACAAATAAAAAATATTCTTCAAGAATGTCATGATAATGTAAATTGTGGTCATTTTTCAGAAGAAAGAACAGTAGAAAGAGTAAAACAGACTGCATGGTGGATGGATTGGAAAACAAGAGTTCATGACTACATCAAATCATGTGACACCTGTCAAAAAGCTAACAAACAGACAGGCAAGAGATTTGGACTGCTTCAGAAAATTGCTGAACCTACGGATAAATGGGAAATCATCAACATGGATTTTGTTACTGGATTACCTCCAGGAGGATCTTACTCCTACAACTCAGTACTAGTTATAGTTGATAGATTTTCCAAGAGAGCAAAATTTATTCCTAATCATAAAGATGATACTGCCATGGAAGTAGCTATGTTATTCTGGAACAGACTAATGGCTGACGTGGGCATTCCCAAAATAATCATCAGTGACAGAGACCCCAAATTCACGTCTGAATTCTGGAGAAACTTACATGATATGTTAGGAACAAAATTAGCTTTCTCCACAGCTTATCACCCCCAGACTGATGGCTTAGCTGAGAGGATGATACAAACTCTAGAAGACATGCTCAGAAGATTCTGTTCATTTGGCTTTGAATTCAAAAATCATGATGGATATACACATGATTGGGTAAGCTTACTACCTGCCTTGGAAATAGCTTATAATAGTAGTATACATTCCTCTACTAAAGAAGCCCCATATATACTTGAGAGAGGATGGATCCCACGCATGCCCAAAGATACCATCAATGACAAATTACCTCATGTACACCCTACAGCACTAGATTTCAAGAAAATGTTAGATTCCACAAATTTACACGCCAAGAAATGTGTTGAAGATGCTGTAGAGTATAACAAGAATAGATGGGATAAGAGCCATAAAGAACCTGAATTCAAGATTGGAGATAAAGTCCTTCTGTCCACAGTCAATTTTAATAACCTTGGTGGGAACAAGAAACTCAAACCTTCATTTGTTGGTCCTTTCACCATTAAACAGTTACACGGGAAGAATGCTGTAGAAGTCATATTGAGTGAAGAATTATCTAGGAAACACCCTGTTTTTCCAGTAAGTCTTGTTAAACCCTACACTCAAAGGACGGCAGATACTCCTGTAGTCCCAGAACCAGTACCTGTATTAGAGACTCCACCTACTGAGAAACTTAAAGTCCATAAGATACTCAAGGATAAGAAGGAAAGGGTACAAGGGAAAGACACTAGGCTTTATTTGATAAGGTATAAGAACCAGTCAGCAGACAAAGATGAATGGCTACCTGAGAATAATATCCCAGATGGAGCCATACATTTGAGAAATTATAGAGCCTCCAAAAGAACACCTTGAATAGAGGCTTAAAAGAATTTTTTTTTCCATCCTTATTCATTTCCAGACCTTTTTCTTTATGAGTAAACTCATCTTAGGGGTAGGGAATGTCAGCTTGCTACTATGGCAGAGACAACCTGTCATAGCAAAATGAAATAAAAAACACATAAAAAATCTAAGAATAAAGTAAAATATTACATAAGTAAAAGAAACTAATTTACTTATGTAAATAACATAAAAACACTTAAAAATATATAAATAACAAGGAAAGATTAGAGAAAACTTTAATTGTTATTACAGATTCTGAATCTACGTACAATTTAACCTAGGGTACCTCAGCCAAAGGTACCCCTAATTGTAACTCCTTCATCCTGTAATACCCACTTAAAGAATTAACAGGTACCCATAGATCACGGGCACCTGAATAATTATGCATTATACATAACAATATGCATATACTCCAAATCTTGTCTCAGATTTGGAGTGTTGTGTATAGTTTGGAAGATAGAGCTGCGTGGCGTGTACTGTCTCCAAGCCCGCGCGCCGCGTAGTCATGCTGCGCATGGTTGACAGGCGCGCCTGACTACAAATTGAGCCCATGGCTCAAGCCCCCGCGCGTGCTAGGTAAGCCCACCCGCCTTGGATACATGCATAAACCCCTCTGGGTTACCAGTATCCAAGGAATGGGCCACAAGCGCCCTAGAATCCTCATTACACGTGACAACAAAAGCCCCCACACGTGTAATAAAAATATAAACAAACTAGAATATGCATGAAAATACTACAGTAACCTAGAACATTCTATATTCCAAGTGGTAACACGTGTAGCAAGCCCCAGAAACCACCTCTTGGATATTCTGTGGCCCATTTCCAAGGAAATAACTCCACGTAACAGACTAGCAAGTATCCACAGGTTCCTGAGGGACATTCTTGGTTCAAATAAATTCGTGCAAGACCCCTGGGAACTTCTAGAACATTATCCCCAAGGTTTCAGCCCTTGTTGCGTCACCATGTGGGCTAAAATGGGCCACAAAGCGCTCCCAAGTCCTACTAAGCTCCCCTGAGCAACCCCTGAGGTCTTCCACAGGTATTTAAAGGGCCTTCTGACCGCCCAAATAATGATCCCCCAGCTTTACAATACCTTATAGAAATTTACTTACCATTTACAAGTCCCCTACACTTGTAATTAGCCTAGTTACTACTATAAATTACTGTTATTAAGCCTCAAGAACCCTCAAGAAACTCCCCAGTGATCACTCAGCACCCAAAATCCACCTTTTTGAGCGCTTCCAACTGCCCAGTTTCTACTCTGAAGATCCTCAAGACCCTACAGGATTATTACTAGTGAGTAATAACCCTTTTCTTGAGATTTTCCCTATTATTTCTTACTGGGATTTAAACCACCCCTGTTTACAGGCCCCAGTGTACCAGGTACCTAAATCCTCTGCTTTTTGCACGATACCTTTGAGGGATCTAACCACCCCTGATTTATCAGGCCCCTCAGGTTTAATTTATATTAATTTTATTAATATAAATTAGCCACTTTTTTCCTAAAAATTCCCATAAAATCCTTTCTCTTTATTGGAATTTATTCCTTTAAAATTAATACCAAAAACCTTTAAGTTTTTTGCTTACTTTTGCACCACGTGTAGCTAGAAGATTTTATATCTTGGCATCACGTAGGCTGACAATGTGTTTGAATTACAATGGCTGCATGCAGTGGAAAGGTATATAATTGGGTCTTGTGTGATACTGAAATTCAGATGATTTACACTTGGCAATACCTCCTGGGCAAGATTCCAATGAGATGCGAAAAAAGCATCTCATTTGTAATTTGTATGCAACTGCACGTAAGATACAGTTGACAATGAAATGGAAATGCGAACACCCAAAAAATGCAAGAGCATGATTCAGCAATGCACAAGAGGAGCCTGTTAGGTCTTCTATTTACAGACACAAACATTTTTCATTTGGGGCAAATTAAATACCTACTCTGGCCCCAGATCTGGAGGTGATTTGTGGCGGGCATGACCCCATATGTCTTATTTGTACATGAAGAGGCAGTTCTGATGGCCCACAATTACGAAAGGATAAAGGGTTGGTTGTGTATGTTTTTGAGCACTGTAGGAGGAATAGAATCCAAAAATATAAACCATTGTTGTGTATGATGCCATACACAAAGGTTTATATTTTCAACCACACCATTGGGAACACATACCAAGAGAGGCCATCCTATGGTCTCATCTATGGCCTTATGGGCACCTCTCATGCACAGTCACATTCTTCACGGTATAGTATGTGTATTGGAACTTATATAGGAATGCAGACTGAATTCCATTGTCTCCCTTGAGTAGTTTCACTAGGATCAATGAAGTCTTCCTCATTCAGACAAAATCATCCTAATTCAGGCCAAGCCAAAGCACAGTCACATTCACATTAGAATACGTGTGATGGGACATATAGAGACATGCAGAATAAATAGCATCTATACCCTTGAGTGGATTCAACCACTAATGATGTTGTGTTTGTACTATATTGGATGAAATGATCAGTGCCATAGTCACTTCACCATTAACCCATATATATCATCAGATTAACATATTACAAAATATGTGCTCTAATGTATTTTAATTATTGAGTGATAAATTTCAAGGATGATAACACTTATACAGGTGAATTAACTAATCCTTTAACATATTCAATACCCAAGAACTTGTCCATGCTGCCCTTGCAGCTATCTCATTCTTGATAATGCAACTCTACAAGGGGTATGGCTTAATAGGGAGTCCACTGTATTTAGTCACACATTTTTTATGAGGAACAGTATGTTTTACCATAACACAGTAAATTAATGTGCACATCACTATGTCACTTCAATGAAGTGGGGTTTATCTGTACATGCTTTTCATCTGTCAACTGCATAAAATTTTGGAATTCTAAAGCCCTTGTACCAAACCCCATAAACATATTATCTTGAATAATGCAACACTGCATGTGGGTCTCAACATTAATGTTCATTTTTGAAATAGGTAGATGATGGTTCACCTAGAATAAGAAGATGAAGGCTAAGGGCATATAATTGCACAGATGATCACATCCCAAGAATGACCCCTATCAGGCAATATTTTGACACAGGTGACTTAACTAATCCTTTAACATATTCATAAACCAAGAACTTGTCCATGCTGCCCTTGCAGCTAATTCATTCTTGATAATGCAACTCCAAAAGGGGTATGGCTTAATAGGGAGTCCACTGTATTTAGTCACACATTTCTTATGTGTTTTACCATAACACAGGAAATTAATATGTGCATCACTTTGTCACTTCAATGAAGTGGGGTTTATCTGTATATGCTTTTCATCTGTCAACTGCATAAAATTTTGGAATTCTAAAGCCCTTGTACCAAACCCCATAAACATATTAGCTTGAATAATGCAACACTGCATGTGGGTCTCAACATTAATGTTCACTTTTCAAATAGGTATATGATGGTTCACCTAGAATAAGAAGATGAAAGGTAAGGTCATATAATTGCACAGATGATCACATCCCAAGAATGGACCCTATCAGGCTATATTTTGACATACAGGTGAAAACTCAACCCAAGGGAATCAAGGAATATTGCTCTAGTACGCTTATTGTTGAATTTGAGGGCTCAAGTCCAGACAGACTAATGTTGAGGACGCAAAAAAGCTGCCCAACCCTTTTGGGAGGGAGAGGTTCACCAAAAAAGAGTGGAAGAACCAATAAACCAGTTACAAGCCACATTAATTGGAGAGTGCTTGGCATGCATTTGGAACCCATCCTTCCAACATCTTCAAATCAAGGCAATGAGCTCATGTTTAGGATAAACTTGCAAAATCATCTCATGTATCATCTCTCCCAAAGCAAATAATAGGATGAGGCCATATGGAGATCTGTTTCCTGGCCTTTTCAGGCAGTCTGCCATGAAGAAACCTATTTCAATGTGACATTTCTAATACCTGGTCCCCTGGCGTGTGAACCCCAGGAGGCTAAAGATACCCAGTCCCCTGGCTTGTTCTTGCAGTGCAAGTAGCCTGAAGAACCCCAGGAGGCTCAATACATGTGAAATGCTAAAGGAATATTCTGGTGCCAAGCCACAATAAATGGCTCATAATCTCCTCCTTTGGCTCACATTCTCCTCTATTACCAGGGAGATGGGTCCCAGAGATAAAAATAAAAATTTCCATCAAATGAGTCAACATGTGAGTCACACATTTTGTATTATTGGTCTGAATGCTATTTATAGACCAAAGACTTCCTGTTGTAAGGAATTATCATAAAAATCACTGCAGACAAGAGTAATATTTCAGATAATTTGGGTGATGAGCATTACCAGACAAGATGAAACAGAACATATGAGGAAGGGAAAAATTAGATAATCAGATTACACCAAACATGTGAGGAAGGGAAAAATTAGATGATCAGATGATACCAATGAAGTCTTCAATAACAAAACATAATAGGGTTCAACCACTCAAACATGTTTTAACAATTCTTAGACAAGACTGCGGCTTCTCCAAAATGCATATCACATGTATCTTCAAAATCCTCAAGAACAAAACTGGAAGAATAAATCATTAGAATAGACAAAAACAGTGCGCTCTAACATATCTTGGGCAACAATGGGGATCACAAACAAATCAAAAATGTTTTAGCCTTTTGTTAACAAGAATTCCACATCTCCAAAATGCATATCAGTCTTCTCCTCAAAATCCTCATGAACTACACAATCAGCAACTCTGGTGACTTTGGCTGCAATTTGCATAGACATACCAAGCCTAGCAAATGGGCTACGGCCTCGAGGGGGAAGAGTTCCGTGGATATAGTCTCTTTGTCGAAAGGTGGCCAGGCACATCATATCCGGCTGAAACTTGATACCAAAGCCGCATTCAGGGAAAATGAAGTGCCCATCCTTGACATTGTAACCGTCTACCTTGAAGGCAAGGTCTCCTGTCCTTTTAAACGTAGGAATTGATAGAAGAAAAGCAAAAGGTAGGGATGGTTCGTCTTTGTCGTCAACATGAGGATGGTTGTAAAAGCCGTTTGTTGTAAAAGTCAGGTTTGAGGAAAAGAATGAATCAGGGGACGAAGGTTGTTCAGTGGAAAAGGCCGGTTGAAAAAAGGCTGGGATGCAGTGTTCTGTCATGAAATCTTGATTATGTTGGAGGGCGACATTTGCAATCGGATGAAATAAGTGCCAGAGGATTTGGCCGGCTCGGTGTGGAACTACTCTTGGGAGGAATAGAGCTTGAGAGGGATGGATGCTTTAATGGGCTGCCTCTCTGATAACAAGAAAATATAAGAGTATGGACTCTTAAGGAAAAAGGTGTGGCTGTGGAGATTTCTTGAGGATGGTATGTCTAATATTTCTTATGGTTACTAGTCTAAATAAACTTGTCACAAATCAAGGTATCCCAAATGTTGATGGGCAAATACCTGGCTAATAGTGGGTGATCAGTTATCTGAATTGCTGGGGCAGGCTCTGATGGGGAACAAATGAAGAGAAACACAAAGCTCCTTATATACAAGATTCTGGGGAGTGGCCAATTTGTGGTTGGAAGGTGGATGGAACAAAATGGAACAAAGAATGAACAAGGAAGAAAATTGAACTATGAACAATGTGGCCTAATTTAGTGTGGCACTAAGATAAGATAAGACTAGTCTGAAACCAAAGAAAGGGCCAAGCTAAGATAAGGTAATGAATTCATTCTGAAACAGAGAGAGGCTTGGATAATCTTATCAAGGGGAAGAGGTGGGGGTAATTATTTCACCCAGATAAGGATTGAACAGGAAATGGGAAGAAAGTACCAAAAGAGGACTAGTATCAAACATAACTGTTGTGTGAGAATTCTTGGCATAAGATGGAAGGAGATAAGAGATAAGGAATATATCTTAGAGGGGTTTGATGTTATATTGAGAAGGGTTACTAGTGTGTAGCTGGTGTGTGAGCTAAGTCTTATCAATAATGAACTAGGAATTTGGTCTTGGGTTTCATCTGAGGAGTTTCAGAGGTGTGGGAGATGTTATTATCCATGTGGGGGTACTTGTGAGGGTTATTGGTTTTTTGCCTTTGTTTGAGGGCCTGGGGTAACTTTTGAGGGGTCTTGGGTCTGTGATTCTTGTGTGATATGTAGTCTTGCTGTGCCTTGAGGTTCAGGATTGGCTTACCACATCGGGTGGAGTCCTTGACGTGTTCTGCATATGCTTCAGGATTCTTGTCGATTGCCTTCTGATTTCGATAAATGCCCAAGATTTCCAACTTAGCCATGTATTTCCTCCATCCAATGGCAAACATCACGCCACCACAAGACCTGCCTGTTGACCTCACCGGATTGACAAATCGCTTGGCTTTGTGAAGAAATAAGCACAAGAATTGTATATCTTCTTGGGTTGATTCACTGATTTTATTCAGATCGATAAAGTGAATGTCTGCAATAAGTTGGTCATTTTGAGTAGCATCAAAGGCGCGTACATGGCCGTGGTCGTATAGCTTGAACTTAGAAGGGTCTTTCACATAGCGATAGGCGTCCTCGATTTCGTTGGGTGTTGGGTTGCGCTTGTGAATTGTTTTGGTTGAGGGCTTTTGTCCACCTTGCTGCTTGAACCGCTCGTTGGCAACAGCCCTTGCTTCCTTCTTTTGTCGATACTCAGCGGTAATAGCGGGAAAAAGGTCAATCGGCACTGGAGTTCTGGATGTTGTACACATCTTTCCGGGCACCCAGTATGTGGTGAGAAGGGAATGAATCCCGTGCTGTTTCTTCTTGGCCCTCCTGGCTGGTCGCTTCCTTTGGGATCTTTGATGCTGATAAGCTTTCATGGATCTTCACGTAAACCGGATGATTTGCCAGCAAATAGTACGGCAATTCATACACAGTTTAGGTGATATGATTTCATTCCAGCATCACAACAAGCAAACCCAGGTGTAGGAATCAGGAAGGAAGGTACCAGTGAAGATACAATATAATATTTTCAAAACAAAGTCAGAAAATTATCAATATTGGAATAATAGTCAGGTACATAGAACGATTTCTTCCGGATCCATTTTTTCCTAGTTATCTTTGCCGAAGTTGAATCAACTCCACCTGGCTCGGCTCTCGGAGGTAAATTGCACTTATTGATTATTTGTTCAAGATCAGAGTCTGATAATGATTCATCACTCGAGTTGCCTGATATGTTATCATCTAAGTTGGAACCCAGATCAGAGGTGTCTACCATTTGTTGGATTGCAAGGAAATTAGCTTACTGTTGATCAAATTCCCAACGTCAGTTTCCGACCGCAAACTTATGCTGGACAAGGTGGACTCGAGGTCAGATAGACTGGACTCCAGTTCTGACAAGCTCGAACTACTCAGGCTGGAGGCATGTTGAGCTTAGTTGTACACCCTAATTCTGACAAAATATGTGATGCAAGTCAAAGCATAACATATTGTCAGAACAGGTTTGAATAAAATAAGATAGGCAGTAGATCACAAGAAACACATGACACAAGTTACACACCGGGTAATTGATCAAGGTGATTCAGCTTCAGAGCCCAGGATTGTTCAAAGTGATGATCCTATAGAGATCAGGATTGATTGGTGTAGATGTCGTAGATGTACGTTTAGAGACAGAGATCAATCAAGGTGTGTAGAGATAGGGATTGATTCAGGTGATGATGCAAGATATTGATTGGAATCAGTTACGTGCAGTCAAACTAAAAAGCAAAGGACCAAGCGGTTAGAGGTCAGTTATTGAGCAAGGTGATGTAGGTGTAGAGAAGAGGATTGAATAAAATAATAAAGGTTGTAATAATCAAGAAACACACGAGGGAAGTCTTCAGAGACCGGGATCGATTGACCTGTTGAAGCTGTAGAGCTTTGAATCAATCGAGGTGATGAGTATGTATCGATCCAGATCAATTGAAGTGAATATGCCGTTGAGATCGGGATCAATCGTGCTGTAGAGATTGGGATTGATGAAGCCGTAGATGATCCCAATGCTGATGCTGTATTGATCAGTAGCAATTGAGGTGATGATGCTGTAGATGCTTGAAGCAGAGAGTTGAAGTGAAGATACTGAATCGATTGTGAGTAAGCGAGGTGATGGAGCAGTAGATGCTCGAAGTGATTATGCTGTTTGAGGTGCAATCGAGGTGAAGAAGCTGTCAAAGATGCATTGATCGAGATTGATCGAAGTGAGTATGCTGATGAGAACAGGTTCAATCGTGCGTTTGAAGTGATTATGAAGTTGAGAATGGGATCGATCGAGCTGTAGAGATTGTGATTGATCAATCTGATGAACGAAGCGGAATTGATTGGTAGCAATCGATGTGATGATGCCGTAGAAGCTCTAAGTGATCTGAAGAGGCTTGAAGTGAAGATACTGAATCGATTGTGAGCAAGCGAGGTGATGGAGCAGTAGATGCTCGAAGTGATTATGCTGTTTGAGGTGCAATCGAGGTGAAGAAGCTGTCAAAGATGCATTGATCGAGATCGATCGAAGTGAGTATCCTGATGAGAACAGGTTCAACCGTGCGTTTGAAGTGATTATGAAGTTGAGAATGGGATCGATCAAGCTGTAGAGATTGCGATCGATCAATCTGATGAATGAAGCGGATTGATTGGTAGCAATCGATGTGATGATGCGTAGAAGCTCTAAGTGATCTG